TGCGGTCTAAAACTATTGTGTTTGGAAATTGAAACATAATGTTTAGATTATGGTTGAGAGTCGGTACTGTAAGAAAATAGTGATATGAAAATGGTGTTATAAGAATTAGGCTGAATAATTAGTGTTCAAATAGCATTAAAGATTAAAAAAAAATGTTATAGTTTGTACAGTACACTGGCCTTTTTTTGGAATGGTATTTGATTTACTATATTTACAAGAATACAACATATTGATGAAAACTAATTTTACGGATTTTATCGCGTTTAATTTAACTTATTATTTATTTATTTAATTCCTATCATTTCGGGTGCTTTACAGCATTCATGGGCTGTCTCGATGACGTCCCAATACGTTAGTACTATTATTTATTCTGTGGTCCCAGTGACGAACAAATATTCAAAAGCTGAAGGTTAACTGTGTGACATCGGGACGTTGGGAATTAAAGTGAGCAAAAATATGTTAGATCAAACACGATAAAACTTGTAAAATTAGTTTTATTCGATCGAATCGAGTGTTCCGTCCTATTGCTTCTCCAAAAGTTTGTAACGTAACATCGTAACATGCATTGGAAATGAAATACATTTGTGAGACTGAAACCGCTGCGTACGCGCTTATTATTTTCTTCATGGCAAGAAAAATAAATAACAATGTTGTTACTGTTGCTAACAAAATTTTTTTTGATGTAGACACAACCACAGTATAAATATGAATATGAACAGTATGGAAACTAAGCCTAGTTGAGGATATAATTACCTACGCTCCATTGAAGCAATAGGGTTGCAACTTTTAATGTTTTAGATATTACTTTTTTTTATATTTTTGTTCTGTAGTGATCAATCAATCGAATTTAAATAACTAGTTTACAAATACAATTTAAATAGGTAATCTCATGGCGTCGGGTAATCTCAGCAAAAACGATAGTTCAAACACGGAAAACAATTTAATATTAACACAACAACTTGTAGAACTATAGATCTTTTACTTTGTGTTTACGGCGTAACCTTTTACATGTTTCGGCGAGAGAGTACGCGAGCCGCGGTTGGAAGAAAACGTACCTTTATTTTTCATTATTACAAATTATTTACAGAAAAATATTTTCGTCTGCTACGACAAGCTCGGAATTCTTTATTATTGAATTTAATTGTGTAAAAAATTATCATTCTAATGTACAGGTTTTTTTAAATAAATCGTTGGGAAACAAGGACAGGGTACTATGAAACCGATTTTGTTTATTTTTTGTAAATTAGATCAGCTACTTTGCAGTTTATGTGGTTTTTTTAAAGCAACAACGAAACATCGGTTTCAACACCCTCAAAAGTCATGAAAATGACACCCATGACGAAAAAATTAATACCTATTGCAGCCGTCATCTTGGATTTACATTTCAACAGCACTATCGGCTTCCACATACTCAAAAATTATGAAAGTGACACCCATGACGAAAAAATTGATATCTATTGCAGCCGCGATCTTGAATTTACATTTCGACAGCACTATCGGCTTCAACACCCTCGAAAACCATGAAAATGACATCCATGTTTTTATTAGTGATCGATGCACCCATGAGCAAAAATTGATATCTATTGCAGTCGACACGTTGGATTAACATTTTGCCAGCACTCAACTTTAATGGGCTTCAACACCCTCGGAAATCATGAAAATGACACCCTTGACGAAAAAAATGATACCTATTGCAGCCGCCATCTTGGATTTACATTTCGACAGCACTATCGGCTTCATCACACTCGAAACCCCTGAAAATGGCACCCACGACGAAAAAAATGATACCTATTGCAGCCGCCATCTTGGATTTACATTTCGACAGCACTATCGGCTTCATCACCCTCGAAACCCATGAAAATGGCACCCATGACGAAAAAAATGATACCTATTGCAGCCGCCATCTTGGATTTACATTTCGACAGCACTATCGGCTTCATCACCCTCGAAACCCATGAAAATGGCACCCATGACGAAAAAAATGATACCTATTGCAGCCGCCATCTTGGATTTACATTTCGACAGCACTATCGGCTTCATCACCCTCGAAAGCCATGAAAATGGCACCCATGACGAAAAAATGATACCTATTGCAGCCGCCATCTTGGATTTACATTTCGACAGCACTATCGGCTTCATCACCCTCGAAACCCATGAAAATGGCACCCATGACGAAAAAAATGATACCTATTGCATCCGCCATCTTGGATTTACATTTCGACAGCACTATCGGCTTCATCACCCTCGGAACCCATGAAAATGGCACCCATGACGAAAAAAATGATACCTATTGCAGCCGCCATCTTGGATTTACATTTCGACAGCACTATCGGCTTCATCACCCTCAAAACCCATGAAAATGGCACCCATGACGAAAAAAATGATACCTTTTGCAGCCGCCATCTTGGATTTACTTTTTGATACCAATGTTGCACAGCTTTTTTATTTATCAGCTTTAAATAGCCTCAAAACCGCCGCATTCTGGATTTACAAATAAGTTCACGAATTCATTATGATCGATCACACGGACTTATAATTCGATAACTATTATAACAATAACTATAAAAATAATTCTTACCTTTCAAAATCAGCAGGAAGCTTAAAATACGATAGCTCCGGTTTTGATGTCCGGATGAAGCCGAATTCAAACAGTCGTATACTACGCAATACGTTCGTGGCATTTTTAAAGTCTTGAGGCGGCACTCGCTACTGAGAGCACCGCGACGAGCGCTTAGAAGTCTCGTCGGTGCGCATGTTTGTGTGAGTGTGCCGTTTCGAGCGTTTGTAGGAAGTTTCCATACTGTTCCTACTATATATTTACTGTGACACAACTAAGGATGTTGTTTAGTGGGGTTTGATTATGGATGGGATCTTCGATCACAGTGTTAAATGTGTCAAAGCTTTGATAATGCTTCGTGTACTCAAGCCGAGCGTTGTAGTTGTTGAATCTTGTGTAAATAAGTACATTAATATTAAGGCCTTGTGGCGTTGCTTAAAGAAGGCATATGTTCGACAGTAATAACAATAATAATTTATACTTTCATTCATCTTTATTTCTAGGATACAAACACTTTGAGATACAGCTTAACAATAAATACAATTCAGTGAACATTTGTGTCTGAAATAGATAACTTAATATCTGTGTTTCAGACCACAGCGCTCTTCCCTTTAATATTATACATTTCACTGTATACAAAATAGATCACTAATTAATAAGTAATTTAAAGTTGTAAGAGTGTAGGTAAGCCTCCATATGTGTAGTATGACAGTGTGTCTATGTGTGTGGCAGTGGACTTGCGAAGGGCTGTAATGATGATGATGATGATAATGAGTATTGAAGATGAGCTTCAAATTGTTACGTCTTCTTTATTTACGATAGACTTAAATGTTTATTAGAATATAATGCTTCAATTATGAATGAGTCTATTATTTTTCATATTTAAAAAATGTACTGTTTTTTTTTTAATTTAAATATTATAGAAAGGAGAAAAGAAGCTAGATTACACATTAGAAAATTTTAATTGAAGTTTGACAAAATAATTTCAAATTTCTCATGTCAAAAAAACAAAACTATTTAGAGTAATTTATTCAGTGTGGTGGCAAGTAATTTGCGTTCACTGGTGTATCTTTTTACCGTGTAGTCACGGTGTAAGAATAACTGTAATGTCTCTGTACTTCGTTTACTTGTACAATGGTGAAAAATTTCTAAGAACTAGGTGTTTTTTATGATAATTAAGTATGCAACACGCGTGTCTAAGGTGGTCGAACGGTCGTAGAAGCCAAAGAGTCGCGTGCGCAGGTTTCCTGTAGCGTAATATTAGCATACCGCGCGGCATCGCTTGATCGTTGCGTGCTCACTTATGTAACTGTTACGTGTGCTAACGGCCTCACTACGCCCTTAGCGTTACCAGTGTTGCGTGCTGCTAAATTAGTCTATGAATTTTTACGTAAAGAGGCACGAATAGGTCAGCATGGTCGGACCACGCTCCACAGAATACCAGCGTCAAACAGCAGAATAATGCTGTTGTATTTCTTGCGGTAAGTGTCAACGAACTGTAATTAAGAGTTCGTTGGTAAATGTAGAGAAACGGAGACCTTTTTTACTGGTAACAATACAGTCCATCTTAGTGATTACGGGTGAAAACGAATGTGCTTTTTGATTCTTAATCAGTGATAGATGTACGGACCATAGCATCCACTTACCATTGGGTGAAATGTATGCTCCTTTGCCTCCCTTATTACCCTTACTTGCAATAATTTAATTAATGCCGGCGGCCCCGAACCCGGGAGGCCCGCCTGTGAAAGATACGGCGAGGGCTTCTTGACCTCTAAACTATCACAACTCTAAAATGTATATATTTCAATTTATTTTTAACTTTACACTAAAAAGTATATTTTGATTTGGAAGTAACTTAAAAAAAACTTATTTAAACTATGTTTTTATTTATTTTTATAGAATAAAGGTGACAAGCGAGCACATATTCCACTTGATGGTAAGTGAATGCTGCGGTCCATAGACATCTTACATCTAACCCCGATTAAGAATCGAAATGCAGATGCGTTGTCACCCCTGAGAACTAAGATGGAATGCCTCGTTACCAGTAATAATTAAAAATTAAAAATTTTGTACAGCCGACTTCAATATAAATTATTAAGAATAACTCAAAAACTATTAGTCTGACCTTGATCAATGGCTTTTATACGGCACATGTGAAATACCAGCTTTCAAATGAAAAAAGAATCATCAAAATCGGTTCACCCAGTAAAAAGCTATGAGGTAACACACATAAAAAAAACACAGTCGAATTGAGTACCGTCTCCTTTTTGAAGTCAGCAGAAAAGCGTCTCCGGTACTCGTCAGTATTCAGTATTCAGCTTCTATTTTACGCTGGAATTTTTATATTTTATAACTCTATAACTCTTAATAAAAAACAGGTTTTTTTGTACATACGCGTATTTATTGGATTTTCAAACCGCCAATAACTTCCTTATCAATAAAATCACCGATTTTTAACAATAAAATCAGTATCATCAATCACAGGACTATCAACAAACGGCCAAATAAGTGTTATGTACCACTTCGTCCCAAATACGCTAAGCAAGTTTTCTTTCCAGTTGCTTTTTGAAGGTTCTCGGTATTCATGTGCTGTTAGTCCTCTAAACACGTTCCTCATGTGAAAACTCAACAAAATGGCCGACCAAATAGCAATACCTACATTTAGTAAGAAAAAGAATACGTAAATATCTTTAATACTTGTTTCTTCGCGCATTATGTACCTTAAGAAAGGATTTAATAAACGAAATATGGCCATCTCTAAACCGTGGTTTTCGAAAATCGACGATACGAAGTAATAGTTGTAGTATGTAGAGTAGACCATCGATATATGAATGTAGACGAGGTACATGAGATAGTATCGTCGGTTATATAATCCGATGCATCTTGAGAAGAAGAAGCAATGATGATCTCTTTTGAGAATGCATACGTTGCATTCTTTGCAGTGCCAAGCCTTCGGCGGACGTTGTATCTTACATAACTCACAGAAATCTCCATCCTCTGTAAATTGACGTCTTGTTTTATTAATGCTACAATCAGAAATAATACTCATGATCATATTTCCGGTAACGTTTATAAAGCAGAAGACGGAGAGGAAGACGTGAAGTAACTGCTTTGCGACGCCAATCTTGTAGATTTCAATCAAAGTTGGTCTGACAACTCCCATCTCGAAGATCAAAAAGCCAGGAGTAAGAATGAAAACGGTTGAATAGCAATGCACTTTTTCACAAATATAGAAGAATTTTTCGAGTATTGTTGTTGTCATTTTGATATAGAGCCTTGCGATGACATTGCACTCTGTGACTGACATTTTTTTATGATTGGGTTAAAAAGTTTTTATGGCTGTAATAAGTTGACTATTTCAAAGGTTAGATTTTAATGTTAAGGACGATACTTGACGAAGTATTATAAATCCGTATAAAAAATGATGGAGAACTTTGTACTTTTTATGCAACAATATTTAAATAAATAAACAAAAGAGTCTGAGTTCGGTTCTCTGAGATAATTTCAAGCTTAAAGTCAAAACTTATAATGACAAAATTTGTGTAAATATGGCCTAGGTTGGACCTAGACCACGTGTTAGTAGAAAGTTAGTGTTCTGTGGCTTAAACTCAAATTTTGGCACTGTGGATGGGGTTTAAATGCGAAATAATCTCTGAATACAGCTCCCGAGTATCGTCTGTAGACTGTGTAGAGTACACGCATCATGACACTGATTTGTAAAATGTAGTTTCTGTGTATTTCATATTTTGTGTTCTGGCTCGACCAGGTTAGGATCACGCTTTTACCAACCTGAAACAGTAGAATAATTCTGTGTTTCGTAAAGTGAGTATAGAGAATCAGAGACCTTTTCTACCGACTTCAAAAAGGAGACGGTACTCAATTCGACTGTATGTTTATATGACACTCATTTTTACGGATTTTATCGCGTTTCATTTTATTTTTTAATTCAATTGAATATATTCAAAAACTGAAGGTAGCCGGTTTTTTCTTCAATAAAACTTCTAAACTTGTTTATTGACAAACTTTGAACATTTTCTGGAATCTTGTTGTAAAAGCGTACATATTGCTTCATCAACATGGTGACAGTGCATCTGTATTATGATGTATGTTAGAGATCTGGATGAAGATGTCTATAGGCATCCACTTACCGTCAGGTGGAATATGTACTCACCTGACATCCTTATATACTCGTAAAACTAAATATAAAATAAAGATAATAGTATCGAATGTCTCTAGTGTAGACTAAAGGGCATGTTTATATCAAACGATTATTAGGTAGATGGTGCGAAGTTTCACTCTGAATTATCTTTGGACTTCTTACAGTGTTAAGTTAAGCCTCAGATTGAAATCGGACGGAAAGACGCGTCAATCAATAATTCCACTCCTTTGCCGTACGCATTACGAAAGACGAAGCTGTTTGGTTCGAATGTATGGAATATCGAACACAAAGGGCCGCCGAGCAATTGGCTATCCGTTGGTGGAAGTGGAAAGGGATTTGAAGAGTTAAGATACGTAATTCCTACGCATACTCCAAAATTTATCCACCGATTGAGGTTAAATTGGATGCCTTAAATGTCAGCATCGTGAGATGTTTTACGTGACGTGTACCTCTTGATTGACTTAACCGGGGCAAATAAAATATTATCACACTTCACTCTAACTTACTGGTTGACCGATATTTTAGTCAACGTTTGTGATGTAGTTTTGGTGAAAGGTGATATTACGTAAGTTTTTATTCAATCTTAGTTCTTCAGAGGTGACAACGCATCTGCAGCTGTCTTTGTTTTAAATTGGTTGCAGGTGTCCGTAGAGAGACAGTAGCCACTTACCATCAGGCGGACTGCAAGTTCATTTGTCACTTCAGTTTTATAAAAAAAAATGTAAGCGTACAAACAAACTCAGCATGAGGATTGTATGAGTTTGCAAAAATGGCGAGACGTAAGTTATTATAAATGTTACAAGTTACATAAATCGTATCGATTTTTTGTTACCTAAACAAAATCCCATACAAAAGTTCTGTATTAACTGTTGCCAATTGTTAAATATATATTAACTAGCTGTTCCCCGCGACTTCGCTCGCGTGTTAGGGTTTTTATATTTTTGCGCGGAACCCTACTTCTTTTTCTATAATAAAAGTAGCCTAAGTTACTCCTTATGAAATCAGCTACCTGCTAGTGAAAGTCCCGTCAAAATCGGTCTAGCCGTTACACCGTTACTAGCCGGAACAAACAGACAGACAGACAGACAGACAGACAAAAATTTTAAAAATTGTGTTTTTGTTATAAGTACCGTATATACTTTCATATGCAATTAGTAAAAATCTGTAATTTTGACATTACAAACAGACACTTCAATTTTATTTATTTGTATAGATGTAAATTCAACCTTAACTGCATTGACTACAGTTGCATTTACAAAGCTACTTATAAATTAAGAGCGCACTCAAATGTTCGAGTGGGCGCTAATTTGGTAAGGACATTTTTGTCACTGATTGTGTATCTAGTTTTTTATTAGTGATCAATGTACCTAAACCGGTTAATAAATTTAATGCACTATTATAAACATCTTCACTGACATTTAAATTTGATGAGTAGCCGTACATATTCAAGATGTGAACAAACACTGTGTATTTGTTTGTACTAATAGGTAACTTACTGGTATATAATTGCGTTTATGACATCATCATCATCATCATAATTTAAAAAAGTGCACTGAAGCATGCAGCAATGTACGTCCTTGAGGCACCACTATCCAACGATTTCCAGCATAAAACATGCTGGAAATCGTTCGTCATTGTAGTGACATCCAGTGGGGGGCCGCCCTAAGCTTGGCTTACCAGTACGAGGCTGCTACTCGGAAACCTTCTTCCCCCATCGGTTGTTGGTTCCTCGAGCTATATCGAGTAGTTACCTGTGTTTATATAATGTTATTTTTGTTGTTAAGGTTAAATAAATAAATAAATAAAATGACTATATGGTATTAACGTGGTGGAGCCACGCTGCAACTATATTATGGTTGTAGTACGAATGGGTCGGCTCGACCGGGGTAGAACCTCACAGAATAGTAGCGTGAAATAGCGGCTTAATTCTGTTGTTTTCGTATGGTGAGTGTAGAGAACCGGAGACCCTTTTTACTGGAAACGAGGCATTCCATCTTAGCCCCCAGGGGTCAAAAGGGACATCGCATCTGCATTTTGATTCTTAAACGGGGATGAATGTAGATGTCTATGATAGGTAAGCATCCACTTACCATCAGATGGACTGTGTGCTCGCTTGTTACCCTTATTCTGTGATAAAAAGAGCGTTAAAAGGTTTATGGAATACTATTTTTACTGTTACTTAACAAATAGAACGCAAAAGTCATCTATTATACGTGTCAAATTTAAAACAAACTCTAGAGAACGCTAAGTGATTTTCATATAAGTAATGGGTCGGCGTCCATTAGTACACTGTCAGTTACAGTAGACAATATGATAGCTGTCTTATAGCTTCATAATAAAATGGTTTGGACGATAGTAGGTATTCACTCGTTTTCGTAAAAGACTCAACAATGACGATGCAAGTTTGACGTAGGGTAGCGGCGCAGAAGAATGATGAAAGATGGAGTATCTCACAGCCTGTGATTCATTCCATATTAGTCCCATGTATGCCGGTATAATACTGGCTCTAGGGTACGTGAGGGTAGTATGGTCACTTTAAGCTTTGCCGCGCTATAAAACCTAACCTAGGCGGAGGACAAAGACGAAAACAAAGTCGTATACGTAGGTCACTCAATAAGTTTTGAGATGCTCGAAATTTAAAAATGGAACGTACACGTGTTATATGTTTCTGAAAAGCAAATTTATTTAAAAATAGAATTCCATATGCCAATTGCTCAATATTAAAAGAAAAACAAAGTTCTATTAATTTTCCTGAAACGCTTCTGGCGCTTATCATTTAAAACGATGGATCTTAACCGTGAATATTTGCGAGCTATGATATATTATGATTTTAAATTTAGTTTAACCGAACAATTAAGTTTACAACGGCTACAATCAGCATTAGGGGACTCAGCTCCATCACGGGCAACAACTTTTAGGTGGATTGCTGAATTTAAAAGGGGTACGAGAAGTACCAGCTTTCAAATAAAAAAAGAATCATCGAAATCGGAACACCCAGTAAAAAATTATGAGGTAACACACATAAAAAAAAACATACGCGTCGAATTGAATACCTTCTCCTTTTTGGAAGTCGGCAGAAAACAAAGGGCAAAATATGCATGCAACAGTCTAAGACTGTTTACGCACTAACAATAATTAAGAAGCAATATAAGAGTTAAAAAGTTAAAGTTACAGCGTATGTACGTCCCACTGTTGGGCACAGGCCTCCTCTCATTACTAAGAGCGTTTTAGGGTAAAGAAATGTCTGCCCCGCTGCCGCAATGCCTGTGGGCGAACTTCACATCATGTCTTTGAATTTTTTTTGTTAGGTTCTCTAACGATGTTTCCCTTCACAGCCGAACACGTGGTTAATCAGCTATGCACATTACTAATTAATAATAAAACAAAAAAAAATAAAAAAGTTTTTAAAGTTACATACAGCCTGTGTTACCTACCAACATACAGTAAATCAAGAAAAATATGATTAAAAAAGAAAACAATGTAACTTATGGAACATTCAAGAAACTTTTTAAATTCGCTTCCGCATTCATAATTCACTTAAAACTCGAGTGAAATTAATCTTCTTTACGTTTGTTGACCAGTCATTTATTATTTAAACCCTCGCAGCAACAATTATTGAACAGACATTTAAATTACTGCCTTACTGCTTAACCTTCAGACAAGTAAATTGAAGCTTCATATTTGAGTTTTTTTTTAAATTTCGGTAAAAGGCGCAAGGAAATTGAGTTTGTATACGTTGTGTCATATTTTAAAACCAGTTTCAATAACTGCAGGAAGACATTTATATACTTATTAAGTTATATCAATAGTAGTACATATATTATATTGTGCTATATGTGTAATAAATACGTTGTGCTTTATAAAAGCTTTTAGAAAAATTTACTTCGCAAATATCCACGTTATAAAATAAAATTATGTGTCTTACCTAGTATGAAGAGCACCTCCCGCCCTCTCTCAATTGCGTGCAATATCCGCGTCACTCCTGCACGCAATTGAGAGAGGGCGGGAGGTGCTCTTCATAATAGGTAAGACACATCATTTTATTTTATAACGCGGATATTTGCGAAGTAAATTTTTCTAAAAGCTTTTATATAATGGATTTC